GCCGCCCCGCCTGTACCCCGGCCGTACTGGTGTAACTGGGTGTCCCCAGGGTGCCGGCACACCTGTATCCCGGGCGTACTGGTGTAACTGGGTGTCCCCAGGGTGCCGGCACACCTGTATCCCAGCCGTACCAGTGACCCCGGGTGCCCTGGGTGTCCCCAGGGGGCCTCTCAGTCCTTTCCATGTCCCACGGGGTCCCATATGTCCCCATAAAAGGTCCCCAGCCCCGCCTGCTCTGCCCGTGCTGTGCCATGCCACCCTCCCCATTGGTACCCACTGGTCACCATCACTGCCCACCTGGCACCCAACAGGTCCCCATCACTGCCACACAGCACCCACTGGGTCCCCATCATTGCCTACTTGGTACCCACCAGGTTCCCATGGGTACCTACAGGTCCCCATCGCTGCCATCAGCACCCAACAGGTCCCCATGGGTACCCACTGGTCCCCATAGCTGCCCAGTGTGTCCCCATCACTGCCACCAGCTCCCACTGCTCCCCATTATTGTCACCAGCACCCAATGAGGGGTGCTCCAGTGCCACCCCGTGAGGGCCACGGGGCCAAACGGGTGCGGGGTCCTCTGTGCGTGTGTTTTTGCACGACTGCGTGTGACTACACGCGTGCACGCCTGTCGCAGCCCCGTGTGTGACCCATCACAAGCGTGTGCATGCGCGTGTGACAACCGCGACGGGATGACAGGGCGCACACGTGTGCCAGATGTCACCCCACGTGTGCCCACCCTTCTCCTCCAAGCCGGGGGTCACCCCCTCTGGTCCCCATCACTGCCATCAGCACCCAACAGGTCCCCATGGGTACCCACTGGTCCCCATCACTGCCCACCCAGCACCCATGGGGTCCCCACCACCTGGGCACACCGTCCCCGAGGTGGTGGCGCCTGTCCCCACTGCCAGCGGTTTCGCCATGCCCAGGGATATCAAGCCATGCCCAGTGAAGTCAGACAATCCCCAGCAATGCCCAGTGATGCCCAGCCATGCCCAGGGATGCCAGGCAATGCTCAGTGATGCCCAGGGATGCCCAGTGAAGCCCAGCGATTCCAAGTGATGCCCAGCCATGCCCAATGATGCCAGGCAGTGCCTAGCGATGCCAGACAATCCCCAGTGATGCCCAGCAGTGCCCAGTGATGTCCAGTGATGCTCAGCCATGCCCAGGGATATCAAGCCATGCCCAGTGAAGTCAGACAATCCCCAGCAATGCCCAGTGATGCCCAGCCATGCCCAGGGATGCCAGGCAATGCTCAGTGATGCCCAGGGATGCCCAGTGAAGCCCAGCGATTCCAAGTGATGCCCAGCCATGCCCAATGATGCCAGGCAGTGCCTAGCGATGCCAGACAATCCCCAGTGATGCCCAGCAGTGCCCAGTGATGTCCAGTGATGCTCAGCCATGCCCAGGGATATCAAGCCATGCCCAGTGAAGTCAGACAATCCCCAGCAATGCCCAGTGATGCCCAGCCATGCCCAGGGATGCCAGGCAATGCTCAGTGATGCCCAGGGATGCCCAGTGAAGCCCAGCGATTCCAAGTGATGCCCAGCCATGCCCAATGATGCCAGGCAGTGCCTAGCGATGCCAGACAATCCCCAGTGATGCCCAGCAGTGCCCAGTGATGTCCAGTGATGCTCAGCCATGCCCAGGGATATCAAGCCATGCCCAGTGAAGTCAGACAATCCCCAGCAATGCCCAGTGATGCCCAGCCATGCCCAGGGATGCCAGGCAATGCTCAGTGATGCCCAGGGATGCCCAGTGAAGCCCAGCGATTCCAAGTGATGCCCAGCCATGCCCAATGATGCCAGGCAGTGCCTAGCGATGCCAGACAATCCCCAGTGATGCCCAGCAGTGCCCAGTGATGTCCAGTGATGCTCAGCCATGCCCAGGGATATCAAGCCATGCCCAGTGAAGTCAGACAATCCCCAGCAATGCCCAGTGATGCCCAGCCATGCCCAGGGATGCCAGGCAATGCTCAGTGATGCCCAGGGATGCCCAGTGAAGCCCAGCGATTCCAAGTGATGCCCAGCCATGCCCAATGATGCCAGGCAGTGCCTAGCGATGCCAGACAATCCCCAGTGATGCCCAGCAGTGCCCAGTGATGCCCAGTGATGCTCAGCCATGCCCAGGGATACCAAGCCATGCCCAGTGAAGTCAGACAATCCCCAGCAATGCCCAGTGATGCCCAGCCATGCCCAGGGATATCAAGCGATGCCCACTGAAACCCAGCGATTTCAGGTGATGCCCAGCCATGCCCAGTGAAGCCCAGTGATGCCCAGTAAAGCCCAGCTGTGCCCAGCAGCATTGGGTGCCATCTCTCTCAGGCAATTTCCCACAGAGCCAGCGGTGTGGATGGGGCGGCCGTGCCCAGGCGGTGCCAGGCCAGGGCAGCGTGTCAGCGGGGCAGTGTCCCCGTGGGGGACTGGGATGCCCCCCCCCCATGCCCGGGTACCTTCAGGCAGTTGAGGACGGAGGTGGAGTAGCTGGGCCCCACGGCCGTGTACGTCCGGCGAAACATCCTGCAAAGTCAGGGCTGATGTGGGTGCTGTGGGACACACCTGGGGGCCGGGGGTCCCACCTAGGGGCTCAGGGACAGTCCTTGGGTGCCAGGGGACAGACCCTGGGGGCAGGAGACAGACCTGGGTGCTCAGGGACTCAGCTGGGGACAAACCTGGCTGATGAGGACAGTCCAGGTGCTTGAGGATCCACCTGGGTGTTGGGGACCTACCTGGGTGCAGGGGACATCCCAGGTGCTTGGGGACCCACCTGGGTGCAGGGGACCCATCTGGGTATTGGGAACCATCCCTGGGTGCCGGGGGACAGACTCTGGTATGGAGGGACCCCGGTGGGTCATAGGGACAGTCCAGGTGCTTGAGAACCCACCTGGGTGTTGGGGACCCACCTGGGTGCAGGGGACATCCCAGGTGCTTGGGGACCCACCTGGGTGCAGGGGACCCATCTGGGTATTGGGAACCATCCCTGGGTGCCGGGGGACAGACTCTGGTATGGAGGGACCCAGGTGGGTCATAGGGACAGTCCAGGTGCTTGAGAACTCACCTGGGTGCTGAGGACACCCCTGGCTGCTTGGAGACCCACCTTGGTGCGTCTGGGGACCCACCTGGGTATTTGGGACTGTCCCTGGGTGCAGGGGACATCCCAGGTGCTTGGGGACCCACCTTGGTGCAGGGGACAGCCCCTGGGTGCTCAGGGACCCACCTGGGTGCTGGGGACATCCCAGGTGCTTGGGGACCCACCTTGGTGTTGGGGTCCATCCCTGGGTGCTCAGGGACCCACCTAGGTGCTGGGGACATCCCAGGTGCTTGGGGACCCACCTGGGTGCCTGGGGACCATCCCTGGGTGGTGGGGCCCCCCCTGGGTGTTGGGGTCCCCCCCTGCGTGCTCAGGGCCCCACCTGGGTGCTGGGGACATCCCAGGTGCTTGGGGACCCACCTGGGTGCCTGGGGACCATCCCTGGGTGGTGGGGGGCCCACCTGGGCGTTGGGGACCTGCCTGGGCGTTGGGGACCATCCCTGGGTGCAGCAGACCCCATCTGGGTGCTGAGGACAGCCCCTGGGTGCTGGGGCACCCACCATGGGAAAGGCGGGGATCA